TGTAAAGGTCTTTTATGTCTCTGGTTAGGAAGATGCCAAGGTATTTGATTTTTTGTGTGTGTCTGTGGCTATTGTGAATAGGATTGTGTTTTTTATTTGGGTTTCTGTTTGTTTATTGTTGGTGTATAACAAAGTACTTTTAAATGCAATCAAAAAGTAGAAACAGGCTGGCGTGGTGGCTCACACCTGTAATTCCAGTGCTTTGGAAGGCTGAGGTGAGAGGATTGTTTTGAGCAGGAATTTGATACCAGCCTAGACAACATAGCAACATCTCATCTCGACAAAATTTTTTAAAAATTAGCCAGAGGTGTGGCACCGACCTGTCGTCCCAGTTACCTGGGAGGCCTGAGCCCAGGAGGTCGAGGCTGCAGTGAACACCCAGAGTTTACATTCTACTTAGGGAGAGACAATAAACAGATAAATGTAACCATTACACTAAATGAACAGGATTTCCCAGAATGCGATTCCAACAGCAAGCAGCCATATTCCATTCTTTTCCCACCTGGGCAAACCAGCTTTGTGGGGCATTTCCTCACCCACTGGGGAAAATATTAGACGATCACTCAAGTAATAAAAAGTCCTCTGGTCCTCTTTAGTCTCAAGAATGAACTTAAGTAAATAAAATGACCAAATCCTATAATAGTCAATATTATGAACTTCTTCCCTCTCCCAACTAGGGTCTGCCTGCAGTGAGATTTGGGAGATGTGTCTGCTTCTATGCTACTCCCCCAGTAACCAGATTGCCTCTAGCTCCTCCAGACTTGGAGATGGAGGGAAAGCAGCAAGGAATAAGTTGATGGGCATAAAAGGTCTTATTTGATCCATACCCTAGAACTCGGTGGGTTTCCTCTCATTATAGAAAATATAATGCTAATTCCTTCTGGGCTTGGCAAAATTCTAAACTAACACTTTTCCTTAGGAAGCATACATGAGTTCTTCACACACCGTCCACCATCCATGGCATTTCACACTTGCCTTCTTCCCATGCCTTTTCTGATTAACCTCTCATTATCCCCTACTAGGCCCCTAATCTGGGGCCCCCACTCCTGCTTGAGATATGTCCAGAAAAATCATAAGGAGCCAGTCTTGGATACGTGAGGGGAAAAGTATTCCAGGAAGAAGAAACAGCAATACAAAGAGTATAGCATGTTTAAAGAAAAGAGAGGGGAGCCCATAGGACTAGTTCATGGTAAACAAAAGTTAGACTATCACAAAGTGAGTGTGGCCAAGTTCATAGCACCTAGAACAAGCAGAGCTGGGTAGGCCTGACCCTATATCCACAGTTATGGAGTTTTAGGTACACTTGGTGCAGAAACCAATATATACAGTGCAGCTATAGTATAATAATAAAAATAAATGGAATGAAAATGTTCATCTGTCTGTCAAATAAGCAAATATATTAGCATGAAGATAATATGGCTGAAAAGTGGCAGAGAAGCATTTACACTAACACAGCTAATATGAAGTGTACACAAGCACAATACCTTTGAAAAGCTGTCATATATGAGCTCCTAATGTGTGCCAAGGGTTTTGCACACGTCATATTTTATGCTCATAGCAACCTTGCGTTAAGGCAGGGATTATACAAAGATTAAAGATGAAGATACTGATGCTTGCAGACATCAAATGCCTTATTTGCCTTGTTCAGAGCCAGACATCATGGTCAGTATTCAAGTCCAGGTCTCCCTATCTGCAAAGCATACATTCTTTTCACTTTGTCACCAGAGGAATTGATATGGCGATAGATGATAAGCAGACAGACAGATGATAGATGGATGGATGGATAGATAGATAGATAGACAGACAGACAGACAGATAGATAGGTCTCTGGTGATTCTGAGGACATATTTAATGCAATCATTCTAATTCCATTATTCTTCCCTAAAGAAAAATACAAAAAACATGAAAATCCTTCTGTTGCTTGAAATGTTACTTTCAATACTTTTTTAAAAAATTAAAATAACCTAGATATCAAAGAAGGGAACAACAGTTTTTAAAAATATGATACATTGTCACAATTGAATATTCATGCATCTTGTAAATGTCAAGTGCCTGGTCATTAAGAGATGATCAATATATATAATTTATATATTTTATATTTATAAGAAATCTGTAGTATAATCTACAGATATAGGTGAATATAAATATGAATGTATAAATGTGAATATCTTTCATTATAATGTTAGATGACTAAATCAGAGCACAAAAAATAAATTTACACAAACCATAATGCACTCATCTACATTAAAAAGTGAAGGAAAAAGGACTATATTAAAATATTGAAGGTGGATAGTTATAGGATTGGTTCAGGTGAGGAGAAACAGAACACATGCTGAACCTGAAAACTTTGAGGCTAAATTATTCAAAACCTCAACTGCCACTTTTCCTAGAAAGAGAAGTGCAGGAGATGGATGCATTCTTTTAGCCACAGTCTATTTTTCTTACCAAGGTAGGAGACATCTATGTTACATTCAAGGCATATACAAAAACTCTGAAAAAAATCATGAGAGAAGTGGGAAGAAAATGAAGGAGGCCATGGGAAGCCTTCTGTGTATTACTGTATTACAGTTGTTTTCACTGTGCCCCAAACACAGTTAAAAAACTATTTCCTCTTATTCTCCTAAGGAAACTAATACTATGAGGACATCAGCCTTATGACCTCATTTAACCATAAGTATCTCCTAAAAGGCCCATATCAAATACCAAATACCGTCACATTGAGGATTAAGTCTTCAACATATGAATTCTGAGAAGACACAATTCAGTCCACAGCAGAAACCAAATGAAAAGAGTGTTCAAAAAGGAAAGGCAGATCCATTGTATACAATGCTCCTAATTGGTCAAATGATGTAAGGACTGAAAAGTGGCCTTTTGCTGTAGCAACATGGAGGTACAGCAAATTTGTGACCTTTGATAATGATAACAAACATCTTTAGTGGTGAAGCATTATTGGCACCAAAAGAGAGTAAGAGAAGTGCTGTAAAAGTAAGGACTGGGATGGTAGCTAGGGGGAACAAGGGACAAGGGAATTTTTTTTCTAAAGACAGAAATAAAAGCACGTTTATGTGTTGACGGGATGATCCTCTAGAAGAGCAAATAATTCTGTAGGGGACAGGAGGAGATACTAAAGCATAATAACCTTGGATAACTGGAAAAAAATGGAATGTAGTAGACAAGTAGAGGGACTGGCATCAGACAGAAGCACAAATAGTTTATCCCCAGCAGTCTCAAAGGAAAAGGTAGAGTACTGTCTATGAGTACAGATGCAAGTAGGTGAGCAGATGGTTTGGTGAGAACTTGTGGAAAATCTCTTTGCTTTTTTAATGTTTTTTCAGTGAAAAATGGAGTAAAATATAATCTGAGAAAAAAGGATGTAATTTTTAAAAGAGGGGGCTTATTAAGGACATAAGGAGACAACAGAAAATATGGATTAATTATGTAGAAGAGTAGAAAAGTGAGCAGACTAGGGAAATATAATATGATTGTTGAAGGCATTAGCCCCGCCCTTTAAAGTTAATGGTCATGAAAGTAAAGTATGCCGGGCTTGGTGGCCCAGCCTGTAATCCCAGCACTTTGGGAGGCCAAGACGAGTGGATTACCTGAGCCCACGGGTTCAAGACCAGCCCAGGCAACTTGGCGAGACCTCATCTCTACAATAAATAAATAAATAAATAAAATTTATTTTTTTAAAAAGAAAGTAAAGTGAAACCTCTCAACATGGCTATGGGCTTTCCTCCAGCCACAGTCAGCTAAACTCTAGGAGAGAGTAGGATTGGAGTTGGATTTAAATAGAAGAGCAATTTAGGTAGAAGAGTATAACAAGTGAAAAAGGTAGGTAAGTTGAGAGTACTTATAATAAATAAGTTAAGGAGTAATTAGAAGGATTGACCAGAGAGTCTAAGCTCCAGAAAGCGAAAGAACATGAAGATATGAGAGAGGTGAGAGACAGCAATGAATTTGCAGACCCCTTTCTGAAGAAAGAGCTGAGAGGAGAGAGTATAGAAGTATAATCTATGTGGATTCACCAAGAATTATAAGTACTGAAGAGTGTGAGAGTGAACCAGGAACAAAAACCTTCCAGGAATAAAGAGTGAAGCGGAGGAAGGGGAAGACAGTCATGGGCAAGGGGACAGGGAGAGCAGATGACATAAGAGCCAAAGTTGTATTCAAAACTGAGGATGATTTCAACAAATCTATCTCATCTCTGACAGAAAAGAGTGAGTTGTTTTACAAATTCTGACACAGAATCACCAAGGTTAAGCAGTTAGCTTAAGGTCACTCTATCAGAGAATGAAATTCTAAACCAGGTAAAATTTAAGAGTGGAAATAATAATGAGAGGGAATTATGCTGCCTCTGGCCTTCACACACTGCCAGAGACACACTACCCTAAAGGGACTTTGCCTCCAGAATTTTTTTCTCCGAACCACCCTGGGGGACACCTCTCTGGACACCTCCATGCAAAGTACTAATGATGGGAGGGAGACATAGATTCCCTAGGGTTCTATCTTCCCTTCTAAATAACAGGGAAAGTTGATTCCTCTATTTCTTCTCCAGTAAGAGGACTCCTCCTTCTGTCTAACTACTATGCCCTTTCGATCCAGGAGGAAATTTTTTCTACCACCACCTAATGTTGATTTGCTACTACCACAAGGCCCAGGTTCTAACCTTGTCTGTACCCCATTACAGGGCTCTCCGGAAAAAGATATCACCACCTCTGCCTAGATCTCAAAGTTTCACAGGCTTTGGTAGCTTCTTATCTAGACATTCTATTTATTCCTCTGCTGACAAGCAAGATGACACCTACTCCCTATCTTCTTGAGGTACCTGGCTCTTATCCCAGACACCCACTCCAGAAATCCACACAGTCACGCAATTGGATCTTTTGTTAAATCCTCTCAACTGTCATTTCAAACCCAGAGAATTCAGAGCAGGAGCAAGAGACCAATTTATCACCTGAAAACTCAAGGTCTAAATATGTATTAGTGTCAAGAGATTTGATATGAAGGTAAGTTGATTATTACAGTGCCCTAAAAAAAGATAGTTTTACAGCCAAGGGGCACATTTAGAATACCAAATGAGGTTTGGGGACATATTACACAATATATTTTACAACAGATTTTCCTTCTGGATATGTGAGGGGGATGATGGGGTATATGTGTCTACGGATTTGGGTATTTGTGCATACATGCAAGAAGCATGCTATATGTCCAGTTTTATTAGTATACCTGTTTTCTTGGTGTGGCATATTTGAAGAGGAATGATTTAGGGCTTGCCTGGCTGAACTGATGTGTGGCTACATAATCACAGTACTAAAGAATTTGACTTTCATAATTCAGCATTGCCAGCCACCATTGGTCCATAATTCTGAATGCCACTTCTACTTTATTCACCTCCAATATGACCCTTGAGAATGATATTGGACCAAATCTCTTAGCGGTTATAAAACCATATTGTTGATGCAATGGATAAGAGTTACATAGAAATCTAGGTATCATCATGTAGATAACATTTTAAATATCATATTCACTGTTCTCAGTTTAAAAATCATAATTCCCTATGTTTTGTTTTTCCAGGAAAAAACTTTGAGAATAATGCTCTCTTTGTCCCGTGTGAGAAAATTCAATAGTAAAGCCAGGAAGATAGCACAGGAAACCTAGAATATCATGTAGTTTAAACTCTTGAATTGACCTGTGAAAAAATTGAGACAGAGAGAAATGAAGGGACTTTACCATATGATATAACCAGCTAAAGGGAGCTATGCTAGGTAGAACCAAGTTCTTCTGAAATCTGGTCTACCAGGAAGTGTTCTTTCTTCTACTTGGCTGACTCCTTATTTAAAAGCTATTATATGGCCGGGCGCAGTGGCTCAAACCTATCATCCCAGCACTTTGGGAGGCCGAGGTAAGAGGATTGCCTGAGCCTGCAGGTTCGAGACCAGCCTGGTCAACATGATGAGACCTTGTCTCTACAATAAATTTTTTTTAAAAATTAGATGGGCGTGGTATTGCGCACCTGTAGTTCCAGCTACTTGGAAGGCTGAGGTGGAAGGATTTCCTGAGCTCAGCAGGTCAAGGCTGCAGTGGCCAGGAGCGTGCCACCTTCACTCCAGCCTGGGCGAAAGAGTGAGACTCCAACTCAAAAAAAAAAAAAAAAGCTAGTATGCATGTACTGATCTGTAGTGATCATGATCATCATACTAGATCTTACAGCAAGAGGGACATGAACATTGGAAGCAGTCTCTACAACAGATTATAAATCAGTCGTCAGTATTATAATGGCTTGTATCAGAAAGTAAACTGAGGAACAATAAGATTTTTAAGGAGTTTATTTGCGCAGTGATTCGTAATTGGGCAGCTCCAAACCAGAAGTGAGTAGGGAGCTCTGTCGAGGGAACACAAGGGGAAGGCTTTTATAGGACAAACGCAAGAGTAAAGAAAAGAAAATATTGGATTGGTGACAGTTATACCATTGCTTTATTTGCTCTAACCCATTGGAAAGTTCCCAGTTATATCACTATGTGTTTGTTGGCTGCTTCTGATGGGCTGACTTTAAATATTTTGCTTGTTTAATGTAGGTATTTACAAGAAATAGAACAAATTAAGTTTCATTTATGTTTGCAAACTAAGTAAGGCTAAGATCACTTATGAGGCCCAGCTGGCTTTGTCTGTGCAGGGATTCTTCTGACCTGGTCTCCATTTTATTTTAACAGTTGCACTAATACAAGCAAAGAACCTGAAACAAGGGAGATGATAATTCTGATCTACCAAGTGTTGGCTAGGCCAAGCTTGAAGTTTGGCCTTTATTTTTAGGTACTACATATTTTCAAAAAAAAAAAGTTGGGGAAGGAGTCTTAAGAGTGAAATCTGTCTAAAATATCTGGAGGGCTGATATGGGGGAGGAAGACAACATTTCTTCTTTGGCACCTAGGCGTTCAACCAGAACCGGGAGGCAAACCAGAGTACAGATTTGAATATCTGACCGGCCTGAGCACAAGTCCCACACAGCCACTGACTAGCTATGACCTTAACACAGCTTAATTAGCCTTTATGAGCCTCTGTTTGTTCACCTATAAAACGGAGGTTCTATCTCCCTGATAGGATCTTGTAAACATATAAACCAAGGATACTAGCATATGACTATGTTCCTAAACTAAGTGTTCTGAAATAAGGCTTGTGCTTCTACTTCCCCCAACCCATCCCCGCATTCCTGGCTTTCCTTTGCTTGTAAGGGACAGCATCACTCAAATTATTTATGTGGTTTTTCTAAACATTCTGGGAGTTTTCCTCTTTTAGGCCAACCAAAGCACCGAGGACCGCTTCCTCCTGCTGGGTTTCTCCGACGGGCCCTCCCTGCGGCCGGTCCTCTTCGCCTTGGTCCTCCTCTGCTACCTCCTGACCTTGAGCGGCAACTCGGCGCTTGTGCTGCTGGCGGTGCGCGACCCGCGCCTGCACACGCCCGTGTACTATTTTCTCTGCCACCTGGCCCTGGTGGACGCGGGCTTCACCACCAGCGTGGTGCCGCCGCTGCTGGCCACCCTGCGCGGCCCGGAGCTCTGGCTGCCGCGGGACGGCTGCATGGCCCAGCTGT